AGAGGGTAGTGTAGCATGTGAACACTGAGGTGTGCTTATTCTAACGGCCCCGGTTCCTCACCCACTTAACATTCGTCAGGATTCACTGCAAAGCTTTCATCGCCATCTGCTCAAGTGAAGGTAGCCCATATAGCATTTTCATCCAAGTCTTCAAATAAAAGGCATGTTTTGAAATGTCTGGCCGCAACTATAGCAGATGCACAAATACAGTAGAAAGAAAATGTCAAAATAATGTTTTGTCAAAGTGAATAGATTTCTGAGCTGCCTAGTGGTACTGATGGTATTAATTTCTTTGCTGACACACATTCAAAGGCTGACAGTAGCACCCACGTATTTAACTGGAACAAATGAAGTATGACCGCTCAAGGGCACTCTCATGTGGATCTCGAACCAGCAACATTCTGGTGAAACGTCCATGTCCTCGACTGCCCTAGTGCCAACATTCGTGGAAAGACACACATTCAGGCACGGAGAAACGGGACGCTTTAAAACATAATCACATTTTGAGAAACGTGTGTCCCAGTCTCTTAGCAAGCTGCTCCTAAAAAAAGCCACTGTGGCTGAGCATGGTTAGGTCCCGCCCTTCCCAGGCCGAAGTGCCGCGATTTCCCAGCATGCCCTCTGCTCCTCCTGTCACACCTCAGACGCCCCATATGCAGAACGAGCTGGCCTAGTTTACATGCCACTCTCTACTCCTCCAAACAGGAAAGAGGGGGCTGCTGTAACGGAGAGGGAGACAAGCGCACAAAGAGAACGACTCACAAAGTCAACTGACGCAACAGACATTAAAAAATAAACATGCCACGACCAAATCTTTTGCACCATATTTACTGCTGCTGCTAAGAATCTCATTCCTACTGTGATAAGGCGGTGTGGGGCAATTTATAAACACAACACACACACACACACACATACACACACCTCTACTGACATTGTAGCTCTGGTTAGGCTGTGCTTGTACCTATTATTATACCTAAATTTGTTTACTGAAACTCTTGTATGAAAAAAAAATCCATTAAATAAATGAATACATGCATTTAAGGGCCAAACCTTCCACATATTTCCAGGCTGCCATTGGCAAACTGGACCGGGCCACCAGCAGGAGGGTGGCTGTGAAATGCGGCCCATTTTAATGCCATGAGGGGAAGCATGAGCGCTGCCCGTCATCTCTGCACCGGCCCCACTTGTCGCACAGCTACCATGCAAATTGGCAGCTGAATGTCAGGCCTCTATTTAGTTAAATGAAAGGGCCCTTAGCCAGCCTGCCCGGACTCGGCAGAGCTGCCGGCAGTAGGAAGCTGCCAGTAACACTGCTTTCCTGCATCCCTCCTTATAGCTGACCTCTAAAGTGCCAGTCCAAGGCTGATCATTACCCAAGCAAATCCAGAGCACAAGGCATATGGAAAGGTCAGACTGTAGAGGAGGTGGATCTGTACAACTAGAGGAGGCGGAACCAAGAAATCTGATTGGTCCTCCAATTGCTTGGGCCTACCTCCTCTACAATCTCATTGGTTCCTTCTGCCCTCAGAACTCCCATGAGCATCTATTTACAAAACAAAAGGGAGCATCCTGTCAGTTTCAATCTGCTCAGCTTTTTATGTTACAAACTCCACTTTGCACTAAAGAGAAACACATAAGACAAAACTCACAGGGAATTTGCTACTCCGTTTAAAGAACCATGCATTTGAGAGCCAAGTTTAAAAAGTGCATACTATAGGATTATCTGGCCATTCAATTTCCCCACATCAATCTCCTTATATGATTTTAGATCTCCAATAAAGTAAAGAGCTTCTGACCTTGTGCCAGGATTTTTCTGGAAAAAGCGGAATTAGAATGCACTTGTGAATCTGCCTTGTGAATCTGAAGCAACAATGGCTAATGTGGTACTTCTTGGCTGGCACGCTTTGACTTGGCTAGGATGCTACGGCTTGGCTAACGTGCTAAAACTAAGCTAACCCGTTACATCTTGCCTAGAATGTCACGACTTACCTAATGTGTAAAAGCATGACTAACAAAATGCAGCCTGGCTAACATGCAAAAACTTAGCTAACCTGCTTCATCTTGGGTAGCGTGCTACACATGGCTCTCACGCAAGTACCAGAAGTGCCCCAGCAAAAACCGGCAGCACCACGTGTTACTGCCTATGACCAGTATGGCCACCTGCCATACGCTCTCACTAGAAATTACATCACTTCTGTGATGACCTCACATTTGAAGTCGCAGACTGTAAATACAGTGACAGTTGGCTCACAAACACGTCTTTTCAGCCAACAAAAGCTCGACTGGGAAAGGTGTTAAATTAAAACACAGAATTTTTCCCCAAAACAGTAATGGGAAATCCAACTGAAGACACTCAAAAGTTGTCCAGGAAAGAGAAACTGAAACATCACAATATGATGTGTGATGAGTTTTGAAAGATATCGTAAAATATTCTTTTTATCCATTTAACTCCCCCCCAAGGGGTATACTAGGCTCCTGAAATTCATCACACTTCAATTTCCAGCCTAGATCATTGAGAATCACCAAGCCTGGTAGAGCCATGACCGCCAGAAAGGCAAACACTGGTGAGATGTTTTAATGAAATGCTCCAGTCTTGAAACATTTGATGTCCTCCATCAAATATTCACAGTTTACATCTTGGACAAGGGCCAAGATGATGCTGTAACCACTAATCCCTCACCAGTGGCATGCAATGAATTCTCACTGAGTTGAAGCAACACACACTGAGGAATGAATAGCAAACATCTGACAAAAAGAGAGAATGGCTTTTTTTGTTTTGTTTTTTTTGTTTGTTTGTTTGTTTGTCTTTTTAATTCACCAGTTGGGTAATGTAACTTCCATACATTATAGTCATATCCACCAATCACAATTTTAAAGAAAGTTTAAATTCTGCTAGATGGTCAATGCTCCTTTTTAAAAGTTCTAACTTTTTTCCAGCTTATTTTCTGTTCTCTCGTTATTAGCCTACAGAAATACCACTGCGCATTCCGATCTCTTCGTCATCAAGCATCATTACCAGGCTGATATTCAGATTGTGCTCTTCATGCGTTCCAAAAAACCAAATATGTGATATATTTAAAGATAAGGTTGCATTTCTATTTTCAAAAATATACGTGGTCATCCTTTTGGATTTGAAGGGTACATTATAAGACTGCTAAATTACTAACAATTAACAAAGTACTGCAAAAATGGAGGACCTATGTTACAAACCGCTGTACAAAAATGCTGCGGGCTTCAATCAATCTGTCAATCCATCCTTCTTGCAAAACCACTTATCTAATTTGTGGTTTGGCTTTTCATTTTTTCCATTCCTTTCATTCATATTTTATTTAGTTATTCTAGTAATCTAGTATCATCAGTTTGAGCTGAACATAGCTTTATATTTTTGAATGGGGAAAAAAATAAACAAAACAGCGTGTATCCTCTGTGGTTTTGCACATTAACTACTAGTTTGTTATTTTTATTTTCCTCCCCAACTCCTTGAGCACTGCTTAGTATATTCTGTGCCTTAGAATAAAACTGGCGAATCGTTCCCGCGTAAGATCCCAGCCTTCTGATTGGACCGACTGTCTACGACCTACTTTCAGACTCAGGTAGTGAAAAGACCATTAATGTGTATGTCCCGATCGCTTCAGCTGTAACATTTCTTTCAATATAGGTTACAATACCCTGTCCTTATTTTATATTTGAAGCAATTGTCCAAATGCGTTTACACAGCCCGTGTCCGCCGTACCTGAATAGCCATATTCACTTTAATACGGTCAATCAAGCTACTGTATCTTTACATATGGCCGTCTACAAAGAGGGCACAACCGAGTCACTGTTGCTTTGACATGTTTGCAACCAGCATCACGCGCCCTTCTTTAACAACAGCAAATATTTTTATTCTTAATTAGCTCCGTGAAGACAAAGGCTCCCAGTCGACCCACAATGACACGAGTCACTGGAAGCGTTCATTTTAAATCCTGGGAATTTTAACAAGCTACCCCGATCTGAAACTGGGACAGACAGATCGTCGAAATGGATGTGTAAAAATTCCTAGCGACCTTCGCACGCATTGATCTGTCATATGCAGGTGCCACGCAGGACAAAAACAAGACATGCGGGGAAGGGGGCGGGAGGGGGACGGCGCTCTCATTTTGTATTTCGATAAAGCGAGATCATCCTCGGCATGCAGGTTTTCCGTCTGTCTCTGGATGTAATCATTACCCGCCATTATTAAGGGAGCTGTTTCACAGTGAAATATCGAATCATGTCATGAAATTCAGTATATTATTTTGGGACATAATTAGACACTTGGACTTGGTTTTTCTTTCCTCTATAATGCGACAAACCCCTTACAGCAATACAAATTAAAAATCCATCTGTACGCTGTTCTTTATACGGTCTCTCCATCATATGTTAGACAATACTCATAATAAAAAAACAGCGATGTTTTGTGAAACTGAATAGTTGTGATCATAACAGAAACCACCATATGCGTGTCTTGCTGGTAAAATCCCGCGAGCCTGGCCAAAAGATCTCTTAAATATCGGAGGAACTTGTTGACAAAAACTTTGCTTTAATGTAGATACATGCTTTCGGATGACTGTTATCCCCTGACCAACTACAGTCATACTAAATAAGGAAAGGAATACATATGTAATGCACCACGCAACCACCAAGGCAGCTATAAAATCTGATACACGTGTTTTATTCAATCACAAATCAGCCTGAAAATAAAGATAAAATGTAAAACAGGGAAAATAATAATCAGAAAAGTATCTTCTGGCATGCGTCTCCTTCATATATCGGTTATCTGACCCCCGTAAATGACCAGATTATCTATGTCGAATGCCGTTTTCACTAGCAACAGTTAACTTCATAGTATTCAAATGGCTGCTTTGGTGGGGTTTTAGACAGCTATTTATCAACCTTAATACAGGCCATGCACATTACAGCTGAAACATCAAAACTTGCCGTAAATGATACCCACACACACTCAAAAATATTCATCTTACCTGCAGCGCCGAAGAATATCAATGTCCAGATGAACGTCTTGGTGTGAAGCATTGCAAACAGCTGCGTGATTTTAATCAGTGAATTTTCCCCTCTGCTTTATAGACGAATATCCGTGGGATAATGCGTTGATTGAGTTGGCGGGTGCCTATTCAGTTCTCACCGATTTCCGAGATATGTTTTCAAATGGCAATTAGGTTTTTTGATATAACCTCTTAAAAAGCCCGAAGAGCAAACGCAGCTGAGCGAACGAGCGGCTGTAAATGGGCTCAGAATACGGAGTGATGCGCCCGAGCAATCGCGCTGGCACTCCGACGTCCTCTGGGTTATACCTACACCAAACGCCTTAAATATCTGCTCTGCAACGAAATCGATAGCTCCTCACCGCTGTACCTTGGAAACCTTGGAAACAGCAGATGTGTCTTTGGAAAATCTTGGCATGGAGTCTTTCCAAACTTGGATTTGACGTCTCAAATTAAACTGGATTTCCCCTCGATGCGTTTGCTCCTGCGTATTGTAATAAAATGCTCCCGTCCCATGAACAGCAGCAATTTATACTATACTACAACCTATAATACAAATCACCAGAACAGGAATGGGACTACTGAAATGCGTTTAGACTATTATTTGTCTGTTGCATGTCATCGAAATAACTGTCGTACAGAAAAATATATAAATTTTATTTTCATGTGTGCAGCGTAATGGTTCAGTCCGAAGACGCTCGAAGTTGAATTGACCATATATATAAACAGTAATACTGATATCTGAAAAAAAATCAAAGCTTTGTCCAAATACATTCTGTGCGATAATAACAATAATATCACCTTAATTATCTTAAGAATACCTTCAGTTTGAATAGCCTAAGCATGTTAGAATTAACATCGATTTAATGTTACTTTGCTACATGTGGGATTTAGTGAAATACGTAGGACAGAAGTTTAGTAAGAGCACAATTCACCTCACACGGCCTATAGCGTTTTTAAATTAAGTTTGCCTGCGCCTACCACCAGGAAAAAAATAATTTTACAAAACATACATTAGGAGACACAAACAAGCAGGATATTGACAGATACATTAGGCTTAAGCTACAGGCAAAATCTATGTGCTTTTGTCCGCGCTGTTTGTTAAAGCAGCCGCGGGGATTTTCACGAAGGCTTAGGGGGACAAACTGCTACAATCCCATGTTCAGACGTGACTGATGAACCTTCTGTCCTCGTATTGAGTATCTGTATCTGTCACAGCTTGAAGACAGCGTTTTAAAAATTGCTCTATTTAGCGTGTTTCTAAGTAACACTGATGATATTTCATTGAGCCTCTTTTGGTATTTTTGGCACGTGTTTTTCAGTGATTATACTTGCTCATACGCAAACGTCTGCAATAGAAGTGAATGCAGTTTATAATAATAATAATAATAATAATAATAATAATGGTTATTATTATTATTATTATTATTATTATACATAGTGGACGCGTGCTAAAAGCACGCGTAAAAACGATTACATATCAGTAAAAGGAGACGGACTACTCGCAGCTCGTTCAACTCAGATTTCCACTATAGTGCCCCCCATAGACATACTTTAATTTTTAGTGATAGGTTTATGTCGTTCAATGGCTTGCAGTTTGAAAATTGCTATAAAGGCAGCGATGCGTTTTGAAATATAATATAGGCAGCATTCTTTCTAAACAATAACCTGAACGTCTACCTTGAAATGTATCGACTTCGTTATTAAAGGGTTAACAGCTGGATAGTGTGATATTTACGTGTCTTCATATGCTTTTGTTTTTAACTTAATTTGTGAATTATTAAAGGGAAAAACCGTTGCAACATTAATGACCAACCACGAGAATCAAAGGTATCAAAGCCAGCTCGGTGGGCGGGTGAGGGTGGGTGAACCGCAGTAAATTAAAACAAATCGGTATAAACTGAAAGAGTTTCTGTGATCAAACTTTCATTTAAAAAAATGCAGATCCTACCTATTGATGTGTACCCATCATATGCAAAACGCTGAGCGGGAAAATACCAGGTTGCCTTTGTGTAAGCTGGTCAATTGGACCTCATCAATCCCACTCAAAGGAAGACATCCATTGTAGGCAAGCCTTAGAAGCACATCATTCTGTGCCCCTTAAATTGTCCCAGAGCAATGGGTTGGTTTGGGATAGCACTGCCTTTCTATCACACCAACTTGAAGTGTCATTTTCATCACCATCATCATCGTCATTGGAATCATATAATCATTAATTCTCTTTTAACCTTGCTCAAGGCACCCAGCAGTATATGTCCCTATCAGGATTGGTGATCCTCTGGCCCTGTCCCATGTGTTTTGTCCCTGTTTGACCAGCAGGTGTCACTGGCCATCCTGTTCTCCCCTCTGTCTTGTAGCTCATAGACCCTAGTGTGTTTGCCTGCTCCCCAGGCTGCTGCCTGGCTTAATGGGCTAAGCAGTTTGCCACTGTTTTTGTTGTGGGTTTTAGGCCAATCTTAACTAGTTGGTTTATTTTGTTTACCATTTGTTATATTGTTCTCTTGGTTTATTTGTGTATGTAATCCAGTTGCAGTCCCACGTGTTTGCTCCCTGATTCCTCGTTGTATTATGGTCTGTTTTCCTTGTTTCATTTGCCTTGCTGTTTGAACCTGCTGTACCCATTAATTGACTTCACCTGCTCCTCATTGGCTCTAGTTCTGCACACCTGCCCCTTGTTAGTTGTTGTGATCAGTATATTTAAGTACCTGTCTTTATTCTATTTGTCAGTCAGTCATTGTAGTTCTTACCGTATATTAGTAGCTGTGGTTGTTTCCTAGTCCTGCTCCTTGTTTTGCTCTGTTGCCTAGTTGTGTTTACTTGTGGTTTCTTTAGCTTGTTCTTCATTTTCCTGTTTTGTTTTTTGACCCCTTGTGGTCCCTTTATTTTCTGGTTTCTACTTTATGCTCTGTGTTGTTAATAATCCCCTTTTCATTGCAGCTTTTCCATGTATCGTCCCTCTTTTCCCTCCTTCGTCATGTTCCGCCTTAGCAATTCCATAAATAACAAAGAATTCACCATTTCAATTGCAAAGCTAGTTACTCAAGAACTGCGCCCCCTGCTGCCTGGGAGCCCTTGTAAAATTCTGACTTGTAATATTGTGTTACTAGTTGTTGGCCTTGTTTGCACATAACACCCCGGGAATCATCCTGTGACGTTTGTAGTCCTCTCCCATTTACATTTCCATGTTGCATAACACCATGTGAGAAATCCATTTGTTGCTATGGTAATGTGCATGGCAGCATATTATCCCGAATAATTTTAAAAATTGCTCTAAGCTGTACAGCATAAACGAGCGTATTTACATTTGCTGCTTAAATATGATGCCTGAGTAATTAGGATATAAAAGTTAAATGAAATGTTTTCATTCTGCTTCCATTAGCCTCTGTATCCAAATTGATCCTCATCGAAGCACTGCTTCTTGCAGCATAAGAATTTGGCATAAGATCCCGTGCCTGACAGAGTGTTAAATAATACATCAAGAAACAGAAAGAGGTGTTTGAATCTTCGTGTCAGAATGGGAAACTGGCACAAATGTAAATGTAGGAGCCAGGAGATTTTGTAGCATGGAGAGTCCACAAATTGTCAGAATACCCCCTGCAGTAGAGAAGGAGAGAAGATATATTGGAAATAGGCACAAATGACCTGGGTTCTAATCCCAGGAAGATCTCTATCTATGGACCCTGCTGAAATTCCTAACTTCATTAATACACCCATCAATCTCGTCAAACTGCTTATGCAGTGCAGGGTTGTGATGAGCCTGGAGCCCATACTTGGAAGCACAGGGCACGGAACCCAATAGACTCGATGCCAGTCCCTTGCAGGGCACACACTTGCCCCCACAAACATACAAGGGCAATTTAGAGATCCCAATTCTACCAGACTAAATGAGGAGAAAAAGTCCACAGAGAGAGCCAGAAGCTGAAGTAAAACCTCCAACCATGGAGACGGGAGGCAAAAGTGCCACCCAATATGCCACTAAATTTACTCCTGTGAAATATCCAGCTTTATGAAACAGTTACAGCCTTCAGAAATACACGCCAGCTAAAAATGACAGTGGTGACACACCAATATGATATTGTGTCTCCGCTATCTAAATCAGTGTCTTCACTTCAGCTGGAATGTCACGTGATCCCTCTTCGTCATTGTCTCCCTTGTCCTGTGTCCACTTCAAGTTTCAACTTTTTGTTTTTCAAATGAGTATAACATTATCTGCTGGAAATCTCTCATGATTTATATCAAGGCAAGGTTATTTTGTACTTTTTCGAAAGGGACTTATTGTAAATACATTATACTAGCTACACCCCAGTGAGGACATACAACACTGCACTTTTAAATGAATTATTAATGCGTATTAAATTATACCTTAAGTATATCTTAATGTTTTTTTCTATAATCCCTAAGACCGGTTACCTGGATTTACAATGTCCTTTGTATTGAGAGCTTGCTTTCAAACTTGTACACATTCCCTCAGTGCAGGAAACATGGTCCTACTGTATTATTCCAACTATATTCTGTTATTGGATTGGCTGGCAGTGTGTGTGTTCTTGCAGCGTCATTCCAGCTGTAATCTCTCACCAGATTGGCTGATAGTGTTCACAGTCCTTCCACGTCACTCCAACTGTAATCTCTCATTAGAATGGCTGCCAGTGTTCATGTTCCATCTCTCAATGAAGGGATCAATGGGTTTTGTATTTCAGCTGTGTCAGCTCTTTGACAGGGGTTCTACTGTTCCACCTCTTTGTATTAGGATAAATAAAAGCCTAGCTTTCAAAGAGTCTTGAAAATAGCAGACACACACACCTTGGCTCATTTTAGCCCTGCTGCATCTTCTCCAACCCGTGGGTCATGTGATCCAGCCCACCTGTCAGCTGCAGTAAGCCGGTTCTTCAGCTTGAAATGAGAGGGCATCGATGGCTCAGAAAAAGCAGGCCATGGTCCTGTTTCCAGGTCATGCTAGTAGTGGACGCAGCTGAGCAGTTATTACTGAATGATGGTCCTTATCTTTCCTCTGCATGGCATTGCTCTCAGTTCCCAGTAACATGTTGTCTTGTAGACCCCTGGCTGTAAGCATGAAGTATCCTGACAGACACATAAAGCAATGAGATGCTTTGGTATTTCCCATGATCCCGTCCATCTGTTAGGCCAACCGGGGAATCTCTATACTTCAGTGCAAACAAACTTGTGTATTCTTGCCAGTCTGAAAGTGCTTGCACTCTAAACGAAATGCGAGTCACACACGCATGCTATTATGCGCCACTGCAGATGTCAGGGTCCCTCATGGATCCATGCAGGTGATTGCATGGGTGTCGCATGGATGCACATGGATAATTAAAAAGACGGCACCATCAGCAATGTGAACAAAGACCCAGGTGGTGCGCAGTGGCATGTCAACCCAGAAGGGGCTATGTGACGTGACATGTCGCTGCACATGCCCTGTGTTAGGGTGTACTGCTTTAACATGATGGTGACCTGCTCTTTTTTGTCCGACAACCAAGTGGCAAAGAAGGGCTTGGAACATGGATGGGTCAATGGATGGATGGATGCTTTGCCTTCCGTAGAGCATCTCAGACCCTTAAATTCCTGCAGTTTCTCCAGTTTAATTGTTTTCCTCCTACTCAAATTTCAAAACTCAATTGTTTATTTTTTTTCTTCACTCTCTGAAAAGGGAGACATCATTCAATAAGCTCCCCAAACACCTGTCACATGTATCTGGTCACCAAACTGCCCAGAGTGGCTACCCTATCAGCCCAAAGGTAAGGCCTTCACAATGGAGAAAGTCACGTCAAGAGAAAGAAAGCAAGTGCTACCTCACTGGGCACAATTTTAGTCCAAGTCCAAAGAAAAGGAGATTACTATGCAGAGATAATTTATGAAATTACTCTGACTACGACAAATTCCATTTCCTGGAGAGGAGAGCCACAGAACTGAGCAATCGGATCTTTCGAACACCACACGCTGTGGCGATGGTATTTACAGAAAATTTCGCTTCATTGTTTGTCTTTAAAGCCTGCAAAACAAGA